TGCTGCAGAATGTCTGTTTAAAAAAAGTAAAAACCTCTTGGTTGTGTACTATGCCAGTTTTATTCATGAAGATAAAAATATTTTAAAAATGATATGAACCTTTCTGTATAGATCTGTGCTTTGCAGTATCATGCAGTAATAATCAAACAAATATTATTTAAAATAGTTTCATTCAGCATTTTTAATTTATGGGTCCAGAAACTGAAAGTACATTCCTGAGAAGACATGGATAAGCGTCCCATGAAACTTTGTACCTTATATGGCTTGAAAGTTCTCTCTCTCTTTTATGATGTTCTTTCACTCTTTTATGATGTGAGAATTGCTAGGGAAGCTTAAGACTGAAGTCAGCTTTTGACCTCAGAGGTATCTTTGACTTTACTGAAATAATACATATGAATATAGAGGGTGCTTTGATATCACCTTAATTTCTTCATTTGTTTGGGTAGCAGAACCAGGTTGAGTTTCATCATTCTCACACACTAATGTTTATTCAATCCCCTTGCTCTGCCCTAAAACCACCAAAACTTATAGATATCTGTCTTTGATGGGTCATCACTGCACATCTTGCAGATCATAGTGCTCACATTAGTCTAATCACCCAAACTTATAGATATCAGTGATGACCCATCAAAGACAGAACATCTTGCAGATCATAGTGCTCACATTAGTCTAACACAGAGTGGAACCTAAGCTGCTCCACTGGTATTACCTCTGAGGTCCCCAGTCTGGTCAACTGGAACAATTGCCCCAAAATATATGGAAGCATTGCACAGAAACACACTTTTGTGAATGTCACAGATGCATTATTAACTGTACAATCAACTCCTATCTTTCTTTCACTTTAAATGAGTTCATATTAAGACTGCATTGGAGAGTCATAGTCAATGAGGCTGCACGAGCCCCAGATCAGTGGGATTAGATTGTATGGATTCTACAAATGAAGTTTTTTTCATGGGGGTTGCAATTCCTTTGTGGGGATAATAACTAGGCAATTCAGGACCTCACACAGAGAAGCTAATCAAAATAAGAAAATTCACACAAAGGTCAAGAGATTAAAGGAAGACAACTCAAGCTACAAGTCAGAACCCTGACTTCAGGGGAGACTGGGAACTTGAACCTTGAAAAAATCAGAAGGCTTGTTTTTTAGGTATGGTGAAAATATATGGCAGGAGTCTCTGTTGCTTTTATGATACATCCAATGACAGTAAATAAGGAGCAAAAGCAATGAAAAGGTAAGTCCAAAGGAGAAGGGACTACTTACATTGTTATTGTAGAAAACATTGTTTATCCAGTTGGTGAAGGTTTTCTTCTGCATGGACATACGCTGCTCTTGCAGCTGCTTGATGTGATCTTGTACATTTTCTTTATCCATGATAACCTAAGATGACAAACAGCAACTACAGTCATTCACTCCTTCCTCCCAAGGTGCTGTCAATACTCCCTTTACCTTTTAAGCTTTCTTTTCTTGGACACAGCCCCTCCCTTCACTACACAAACTACACAAGCACATACACAACTCAGAGAATTTATACCAAACTGCCCAATCATCTTTCACATTATCCTTTTTTATTCTCTTTCCAAGTCACTTGACCCCATTTGGTATATTGCAGTCTGCAAGCCAGCAGCGTCTTCCTAGAGTGTCCTGAGAACAGATGACCGGGAACTGAGGGTCAGTCTCTGCAGGCATTAGTGGCTGCCAACCCAGCTTTTAACACATTGCCTGAGAACCTATTCTAGTGTTATGGCTCCATTCTCAGTCACCTGCTTTCAGGACATTTGGTGGTATTGGTGTTGCCTTTCAGACCAGAGTATAGCTGATGGCATCAGGTGACTGTTTGGAGCCGGAATGAAAAATATGCCTGCCCCTTCTTTTGATGAGTCCCTCGTTGTCAATACATCCATCATTGTCAATGGAGTTCCCTGGCCAAAGGTACTATTTTGTAACAGACCCTCTGCCAGCTATATGAGGATGGTTTCCAAAAATCAAATAATATAAAAGCGGCAAGTTTGAGAACATTTAAGTGTCCAGAAATTCACTTTTTTAGGCTTCTAATTGTATTATCTTTAGAATTAGTATAGGAAGAAATGATGATGAATTACCTGGAAGCACAGCCTAGCTGTGAAACCACAAGGAATCTTGGTACCATGCAGTCAGAAGAGGAAATTACCGACAACTGGTATTGGATCACTGAAAAGAGAGAAGCAACTGGAACATAACTAGATTGACAAATCACAGGGGGAATGGGCACAAGAATTGTGCTTTAGAACTCCTTTTTTTCCTACTGTCTGGGCCTTGCAGACAGTTATCAATGAAGAGTGGAATATTGGCAGCATTGTAAAACCCACAAGTCAGCTTGTGGCATGGTATGGGAGGTTAGAGCAATGTTGAGGTGCATGCAGCAGTAGCCCATGGAAAGTCACTTACATGTTATTCTATGTTGGCTCTAACACATGAGACTAAGACTAGAGGCAGTTTGAGGAAGGGGTTAAAAGCAAAGCTTTGCTCCTGTCACCCATGAGCAAGGTTCTGTTATTCTGTCACCACTTGTTATCTGCTTTGCCACTGCTTTGCTTTTCCAAAATAGTCACTACAATACAATCTGAAATACCAAAATAAAAAAAATAGAGACAACATCCATGACATTTTCATAAATGTTATACAAAGCTGATTGGGATTTTTGTAAATTTGATTTAAAAAACAAAACAAAGCACGTTTTCCTTTCTTTTGACCAGTTCTAGTACCGAAGGTCTTTGCTGTCTGGACAATGTCTAACCAAAGAAGTGTCTTTCAATTAATTCTACTGTCCCAGGGCTGACCTACTGGATGTTCCCAGAAAAGCTGATGTCTCTTAGGGTGTGTCTAGACTACCTAGTTTTGTCGACAAAAGTGGACTTTTGTCGACAAAACTATACCAGCGTCTACACTACCGCTGAGTTCTGTCAACATAACGTCGACAGAACTCAGCAGTTTTGTTGACGCTGGTATACCTCATTTTACGAGGCATAACACCTTCTGTCGACAGAACTCTGTCTACAGAAGGTGTTATTGCCTGTAACATTGCGTCCAGACTACGGAGTTCTGTCGACAAAGCAGCTTGCTTTGTCGACAGAACTCAATGTGTCTGGACGCTCTTTGTCGACGGAAGTTTTGTCGACAGTATCTGTCGACAAAACTTCCGTCGACAAAACGGGGTAGTCTAGACGTACCCTCATCTTCCACACCCTTCTCCTGCATGGTCTTCAATCCCAAACCCGTATGACTTACACCAGGCCTACCATTGTGCAGCTATCCCAAATATAACTTAGTTGCCTTAGAATGCAGGATATATTTCCTGAAGGTGAAAATGGGGCACAGCATGAGGCTGGCCTATGCCCTGCCCCTCTTCCCTGTGTAATTCTGGCATTGCTATTTGCCCAAGCACTGTCTGCCCCCACATGTGAGGCTGGCACCAGTGGGTGTTTGTCCCATTTGCTTTTGCTAATTGAGCAAGTTTGCACGAGTAAACAAGAAAAGTGCTCACTTCTGTTAAAAAAAAAATTAGGACAGCTGAGACAGGGCTTAAAAAGGGACACCACCACCCCAAACAGGAAGTATGGTCACCCTAAAGTTGGAGAATGGAGAAACAGGTGAATGCAGGAAATTGTAATGAACCAGAGCCCTATTGCAAGGCCCAGAAAGGATTGAGAATCCCTCTCCTACTGCAAGATCAAGTGCAGTAAAAATTCAGGTATCTCCAGAACACATCTTTTTTCCTTGTCTTCCCCTGTATCTTATTCTACATGGTAAATACATTCTGTATAAAATAGTTTCACGTAAATGTCTTATTATATTCTTTATACAGTGTATTTTTCCTCATATCCTTCAGCTTTTGAAAGCTCTACCAATGAAGTGCAATCTCCCTGAAATATATTAAAGCTCCTTTATCATTTTCAAAACTTCCTTGAGATCACGTTGGAAGGCTCTTCTTTTTTTATGGACCATACTTAGATATTCACACTCCAATCACATAGTGATAGAAATGTAGCTGTGTTAGTCTGGTGTAGCTGAAGCAAAATACAGGACTATGTAGCACTTTAAAGACTAACAAGATGGTTTATTAGATGATGAGCTTTCGTGGGCCAGACCCTCTTCCTCAGATCAAATAGTGGAAGAAAATAGTCACAACCATATATACCAAAGGATACAATTTAAAAAAAGGATCAATGCCCACAAAACAGATATTAGACAGGATCACAAAGAAAAAACAGTTTCTTGCCATTTCAGCCAGAAAGGACACTGTTTCAACGACTTAATTACCTGCATCCTGCTTCAAAAACCTTTTAAAACCGCACTTGAAAGGGAATCCTCTGAACTGTTATTCATACTAAAATTCGACACTTTACGCAGGGGGCTGAACAAAGACCCCAACTACCTTACCCATTACAAAGATAGCTTCCTCAATTATCACCTCTAATAACATTAGCTCACAGACATTTACCTCTCCGTCCTCCCCACCCCCCGCATCCCCCTTCTGTTCTGATATTTGATTTGTCCTTTTCATATGTGTTCATTTTTTTAAATTGTATCCTTTGGTATATATGGTGCAGGGGGCTGAACAAAGACCCCAACTACCTTACCCATTACAAAGATAGCTTCCTCAATTATCACCTCTAATAACATTAGCTCACAGACATTTACCTCTCCGTCCTCCCCACCCCCCGCATCCCCCTTCTGTTCTGATATTTGATTTGTCCTTTTCATATGTGTTCATTTTTTTAAATTGTATCCTTTGGTATATATGGTTGTGACTATTTTCTTCCACTATTTGATCTGAGGAAGTGGGTCTGGCCCACGAAAGCTCATCATCTAATAAACCATCTTGTTAGTCTTTAAAGTGCTACATAGTCCTGTATTTTGCTCCAATCACATAGTGCTTCAAAGAGGGTTCACACTGATTGAAAAAGTTTTTGTTCATGTTGCTGCCATGCTCTCCATTCCACTGACTAGTGAACAATTGCCCACACTTATTAAGACAGACAAAGCTGTAAAGGAGTTGGTTTTCAGATGAGGCTGAGCATATGGATCAGTTTTGTCACAAGTAGAGCTTCTCATTAAGACATATTTTAGGCTGAGATCTAGCTGCACTGGCAAAGAAGTGCACCACTAATAGAGCTTGACGACAGTGACATCTTTCTTTATTCCTCACAGAGAAAGAAAACCAAGGAACATTAATAGTCAGGACTTACCCAGGTTTGTAAAGATTCCACTTTCAAGTTCAGAAGTCCGTCATTCTGGAGAACAAATGTCAACTCCAACTCTGCTGTTCCTGCATTTGGTTCCTCCTGGGTACTCAGAGTAACCTTTGGCTGTCATAATAAAGGGAAGGTATTTTATAATCTGTGTGCAAACCCTTCTACTGACTGTAGAGGAAACAACCCATTAGCACAGTGAGGGCTGGGGGTGGGGGCAAAGGTTATCACAAAGTGCCTTGCTGTGATTGTTATGCTAACAAACAGGGAAGGGGGCAGCTCCAGTGCTGATATACTAAACTAAGAGGTACCTCAAGATGCAGGTGTTCTGGTACAGAAATCACAGCCCTCCATAGTTAAATAGATCTGATGAGCACAGGCTCCCCAGAAACCTATCTATGAGATCTCAGCTGGAATTTGAAATTGAAAGTTCCATAAAGAGTGCAGAGGTTCTAATTGTTCAAAAGTCATTTAAATGAGCTGACTCAAATGTGAAAGTGGAATTAGCATGCTGTAATTAGCAAGATACTGCTCTGAGGACGTTCACATTATTACATATTTACCTATCATCGGCAAGGCATTGCTATGGTGATTTGCTGTAAATAAGCACTTGTTTCTAGACTTCCCGTTGATAGACCAGATGATCTAATGTCAGTAAGCTTACAGCTCTGGAGCACCTCGGAAGTGACCGGGCAGCATTGTCACAAAGCACACTGGTCTTCGGGTACGTCTACGCTGCACGCTTATTTCAAAATAAGCTACTCTGAAATAAACTATCTGTGTCCACGAAAGCTCATGATACCATCTACATGTTTTGTTAGTCTTTAAGGTGCTACTAGACTATTTGTTGTTTTTTAAGTTTATCCTGTACAGACTAACTCGGCTACCCCCTGAACCTATTAGGTCAGTCCAGCATAAGAATAGCTCTATTAGGTTACTTAGCCTGGTATCCCATCTCTGATGGTGGCCTTGCCAGATGTTTCAGGGAATGCACAGAACAGGTAACTTTCACATGATTCATCTCCAGCCATCCAGTCATAGTTTCAGGCAATTGGGGGTTTATGAACATGTAGCTTGTGGAGTTTCATTTTTGACCAACTTGCTTAATCTCCATTAGTGGACCTATCCTCCACAGACCTAGCTAATTTGTCTTTGAACCTAGTTACAGTTTTGGCATTCACAACATCCCATGAAATGAGTTCCATAGGCTTACTGTGGCTATGTCTAGACTACAATGATTTATTGGAAAGGCCTGCTTCAAAGGCCTTTTAAGACTACACATGAAAGAGAATCCTCTGAACTGTCATTCATGCTTAAATTCTACACTTTACACTTAAGTTTGAATAAAGACTCTAATTATCTTACCCATTACAAAGATAGCTTCCCCAATTATCACCTCTAATATCATTAGCTCACAGACATTTACCTCCCCCCCACCCCCCTTCTGTTCTGAAATTTGATTTGTCCTTTTCATATGTGTTCATTTTTTTAATTGTATCCTTTGGTATATATGGTTGTGACAATTTTCTTCCACTATTTGATCTGAGGAAATGGGTCTGGCCCACGAAAGCTCATCATCTAATAAACCATCTTGTTAGTCTTTAAAGTGCTACATAGTCCTGTATTTTGAGTCTGTATGTGTGTGTTTCTCCTCTCTATATGTTTTTAGCTGCCCCATTTGCACGTTTGCAATTTGCATACCTTTTTCCGATAGCCTCTAATGAAAAAACTTTTTCAAAATTTGGCCCATCTACACTGGGCCAAATTTCAGAAAAACCTCCTCTTTTGGAAGAGCCCTTCTTTTTTGTTGAAGGAGGAAGACAGGGCTTCCAAAAAATCACGTTTGGTCTTCCTAAAAAAAAAAAAAAAAAAGAGGAAGAGCAGACACGTTCCCTGGATGTGGCAGAGTTTTTCCCGGAAAAACCCTGTACTGTGGACATAGCCTGAGAGTTGTA